GCAGCTAGATGGGAAGGGTTTGGGGAGGGGAGGACTGTTCAGAGGGGAGGTTTGTAATCTCCCCTTCCCTTCCCGTCCTTTTTTTTTTTCTCTCTCTCTCTCTCTCACCCTCTCTCTCTCTCTCTCTCTTTCTCGCGGTCTCCGTCGCTTTCTTTCTCTTCCTCCTTGGTTTGATAGGCTGCTGTTGCTCCGCTAATGACTCTTTGTTGCGTTGCGTTGAGTTGGGTGCGGGGGTTATGGAGAGGGAATGCGAACAGGGATGGAGGAGGGTGGACAGGTAGGTGGGAGGCCAAGGGAGGGGAGAGGATGGGGGGTGGAGAAGGATGATCTCTCTCTCTCTCTCTGTGTGTATATACATATATATACACTAAAACCATCGCGCGCGCTTCGCGCGCGCTCGAGTTCTAGCTAGGCTTGATAGGCTAACTCATGTCATCCCATTTTGGTCGCTTCTTGCGTCCAGGGACTCCCTTGGAGGCCCTGCGCAAGCCTCGGAATCGCATAGAAGGGGAATCGCGGAAACGCAGAAAGCATTCATTTCTTTCAGGCATTCAAGGATTCGGGGCCCTCAATGGCTTCCTGGGTTCTTTTTTGGGAGGTGAGGGGGGTCTGAATTGTGGTCTGTTGTGCTAGAGTAGACCGGGGGCCAAACTTGAAAAAAACAGGAATTGTGGGATTTCCATGCTTTTCCAGTTCCTCGGCGCTGTTCGGCGTTGTTTTTTGTTTGTGCCTCGCGGGTTTTGTTAGCCGGACCCCTCAGGGGTGTGGGATCTTCCGGATCCCCTGGGAGTTCTGGAGGCCTCCTGGAGGCCTGGAGAGCCGTCGGAAGGGTGCCGCGGGCTGCGCGGGAGCGTGTTGGCCGTTCTTTACGTTCTGGGGGCTCCTTGGGGTCGTCATGGGCTGTCCTTCGGCGACTTGGGGTCTCCCCCCGGGAAGCCGGAAGGCGCGGTACTGGCCAGATGTCAGGGGATGTCTAGGACCCCCGAGTAGGACCCCCGAGTAGGGGGGATTCCGGGAATTCCTTTCCTTTTCAAAATCTTCGATCTTCGAGGGTTGGAAGTGGGAAAACGTGAGAAGGCGAAAAACATAAAGAAAAACCATGGGACATCAACGATGTTACCCTCTTTTGGCTCTCTCGGGACGGCTCTCGGAGCTCTCTTGGGCTGTTCTTGGAGCCTCGTCGGGGTCTTTCTGGGGCCTCTCAAGGATCGGGGGTGTGTTGGGGGCCTCTGGGTGGTCCCGGAGGCCTTTCGGACCTCTGGAAGCCTCCTGCTCCCGCTCTTGGCCCCATCTTGGGCCTGTTCTGGGGTGGTCTGGGGCTGTCCTGGGCGCTTCTTCGGCAGTCTAGCCTTCTTGGCCCGTCTTGGGGCCGTCCTGAGGGTCTCTTGGGTGGTCTTGGGGCGGTCTTGGGAGCCTCGTCGGCGCTCTTGGACCGTTGGAAGCTCGAAAACGCGAGAAGTCAAAAACATTGAAAAACAAACCACTGAGCATCTGCGATTTTGGCTTCTTCAGGCCGTCCCAGGACGCCTCTCGGACATCTCTTGGGGTCTCTTGTAGGTTACCTGGGAGCCTCAAGAGCCGTCGGAAGGCTGGACCATCCTTTCGCATTCTGCGGTACCGGGAGCGCTCCCGAGATGTCACGTGGAGGTGTGGCACCCGGGGCCAGGGGGGCTCTATTGGGGTGCCTCTTGGAGCGTTTTCGGTGTCTCTTTTGGTGTTTTTTCTGGTCTCATGGGGCCTCTTGGTGAGTGGGTGTTTCTTGGAGCCTCTTGGGGTCTCCTGGGGTCTCTTGGGCCGAATGGCACGAATTTCCGGTTCCTCGTCCCCGTCTTGGGCGCCGCTCTTGGGCGTTTTAGGCGTCTCGTGGGCCGTATTGGCCCCCTCGCGGGCCGTTTTGGAGCCCTCTTGGGGGCATCCTCGAACGGCTTGGGTGCCTCTTGGGCCGTCTTGGATGCAGTGGAAGCCCAAAAGGCGAACACGCCAAAAATAGCAGTTTTCCTGTAGATCTCGACGATGTTTGCTTTTGGGGACTCTGTTGGAGTGCCCTTGGGCCGTGTTCGGGGACTCTTTTTGTGTTTTCGCGGGTCTCTTGGGAGCTTCTTGGGCGCTTCTTGGAGCCTCTTGGGGTCTCTTGGGGGCCTCTTGGGTCAAATGGCTCGCATTTTCGGTTCCTCGTCCCCGTCTTGGGCGCCGACTTGGGGCGTTGTTGAGCGGTTTAGGCGTCTCGCGGGCCGTCTTGGCCCCCTCGTGGGCCGTCTTGGAGCCCTCTTGGGGGCATTTTCGACCGTCTTGGGTGCTTCTTGGGCCGCCTTGGACGCAGTGGAAGCCCAAAATGCGAACACGGCCAAAAAATCAGTTTTCCTATACGGAATCGACGAGGTTTGCTTATTTTGGGGCTCTGTTGGGGTGCCTCCTGGGAGCCTCCTGGGGGTCTCTTGGGTGCCTCTTGGGGCCTCTGGGATGCGTCTTGGGGCCTCCTGGGGACCTCTTGGGGCCTCCT